GAGAGAGAGAGAGAGAGAGAGAGAGAGAGAGAGAGAGAGAGAGAGAGAGAGAGAGAGAGAGAGAGGGGTCCCTCAGAAAATAATGTTCGAGCCTGGACGAATGTTGTGGCATCTGAGTTGCGATCGACAGACTCATTTGGCTGTCCACATGCATGCCTACAGTCTGGTCTGGAGATTCTCTCATTCACTTTTCCCTGGAGCACTGAAGACTTTTCATGCTCATTCTAGAGAGTCAGCAACAGCAGAGGAAGAATAACCAAATCCCACTTGATATCCTTACCTTGAATCGTTTGAAAGGACAGAACATCTCCTCACCGCAAGCCTGCAATCCAACCCACCACAATCCACCACAATGGATTCAGAAACAGATCAAATCAAAGGGACCGTAGCAAGAATGCCCTTCACTCTTCTTTTTATTCGCCTCCTCATCTCCTCGTCGTTGTCCTCCTCCTCCTCCTCTCCACTGAGATCTTCTTCTGCGTCTACTTCTTCTTCTTCTTCCACCTCCCTCCACTTTTTCCTATTCTCCACCTCCTTCCCTTCTTCCTTTGTTTTCCACAAAAAAAAGGGCTACGGCCTTGAGATATCATCATTTGAACTGACTGGCCCTAGGTAATTCAGAATTGCAGTATTTTTACTCATCTGCTTCCAGTGCAGTTCGAACTCAGGTCTGTATTTGGACAATTCAGTGGTGTACCGACTGAGCTAGGCCAGCAGGTCACCTTCTGCTTCTTCCTATTCTACACCTCCTTCCACTTTTTCCTATTTTCCACCTCTTTCCGCTTCTTCTTCTCCCCCATCTAGCTCAAGCTCCTCCTCCTCCTCCGTCTTTTCTCACATCCCAGTTGAATGCATCTTCTCAGACCATCCCTGCCAGTTTATCAAAGCCGTTGTTCCTCTCATTGTATGGCGTTAATTTCGATAATGGAGAATGACAGAGAAAAAGAAAGAGAACCTGAGAAGTGGAGGGGCAAGCTTGCTGAAGTGTACCAATGCCAACGCATGCAGTTGGAACCAAGTATTAAGACTCTCAACCAAAAACTGTAACTCGTAGCTTTGTTATCTACAGAATCTGTGTGCCTTGAAAAAACGGAAGAGACGTTGGCTACGCTTAGCACCACACCCTCAACTCACCGGCATGATCACTGGCTTCTCATTGTGGAGCGCCAAGACTCGGAACTCATCTGCCGACAAACCATCATTGATTCCTTCTCCCGCAGGTGTGCCCGCTTGTTTGCCGATTTCTGTGGCGTCTTGCTGGCCGTCAAGCATTGCTGCAGGTGTTGCACGGCAATGGTACAGGACTAATTCAAGATTTGATGCATAAGGGGCGACTCGCCCACCATGCCATACTCTCTTCGCTGGAGGGGGAGGTGGCGGCGGAAGTGGCCTCCCTTCTTTCACATCTTGAAGATATGCTGTCAGAATACACACATGCACAAGTGCACACACACACAAAGAGAGAGAGAGAGAGAGAGAGAGAGAGAGAGAGAGAGAGAGAGAGAGAGAGAGAGAGAGAGAGAGAGAGACATGGACGCTCACACAGACATATGCCCGTACACACACACGCAAGCACGCCACATGCACACATGCATTCGTGCGAATCAGCAGATGGATGAGTGGGCACTTCCTGCTCAACCAGACAAATTAGGGTACCTTTCAGGCTTGCACTTTTGGTTTTCAAGAGCATTTGGGTCTTCTGTCTGGCGACAGTTTTGCAAACAAGTCAAACCAAGAGCACGGCTATGAGATGCATAGCCAGGCAACCATCCAAACACTTTCTTTAGAATGTAGCATTTGAATTTTGAACCTACAACAATGTCAACAACGGGATAGTTTACCGGTTCCAGTCAATCCAACCTTAGTCAGCGGTGCACCTAACGAATGCATTCAATTGAGCACAGCCATACCCACACGCAATGGCACACATTGTCTGCGCAAGGCTCTCTACTGTGCTTTTTTCGCCCTTTCCCCCATCCTCCCTCTCCCATTCCCCCTACACAAACACACACACACACACACACACTCTCACAGTCTACCGATCCCCCTTGTCCCAATCTCTGAATCTTTGCTACATTCTGTGTTTGGGGGAGAACAAAACATTCTTCCAGTCACTGTGGTCCTTTTCTGAGTTGCCTGAGCTTTCCTCTCTTTTGAGAAGATAATACCTACTACCTGCTGATGATCAACTTCCTAACAACTTTTGCATCAGGGTACTTACTTGCTTTGCTAATTTTTCACAATAGGTAGGAATCCATGAGGAGTCATTGGGAACCCACAGTGGAAACAACATCTTCGTCTAACTGTTTCCACTTGTCAGTGGCACCGTCAAGTCATCATCCGTAGTGAAAGGATAGTAATGGGGATCCATGACCATATATATCTTTTCGGCAAGACGACTTACAGTTTCCGTCCGACTCTGTCTCTACCATCACCATAACCATCACAAAATGTGATCCTCGTTGTCGATCGTATTAGCAAGTTATTACCAAAAAGGGAGAGGACAAAAAAGAAGGGAAAAGAAAAAGATATGAAGGGTAAGCGGTGAATGGCTGTTGACTCAGTGGTTGGAGCACCGGTTGGAACTGCGCATTTTGGCACGAGGTTGCGGGCTCAAAACTCCGTTGCCTCGCGCAGGTACACTGGAAGCACTTTCATACTGCACAAGCCATTCACACGCCCCCCTTGGTACGACGCATGGTAAGATTTATACAGACACTGCCTGCGCACCACCCAAGGGGTCTAGGTCCATGGTTTTAGTATGCTGGATAGGGCCATAGGGAGGGCTGCTTGAGTGCTTTGTTATGAACTTGGTTGTTTGACAATTTGATTGCCCCTCACACACACAAGAACTCACACACGCCCATACATGCACGAGTCAAAGGGGAGGAAGAGACAGAATCCACCTGCACATAGATCAGAGATAAGCAGCGAAATACAACCATGCACAGATGGGGAGAGTACACACCGTGTTCTCTCTCTCTGTTGAACTCCCAACAACCAATCACA